CGGCGGCAGAGATAGGATTTAGAGGGGAGACAGAGAGAGGGAGAGAGAGAGAGAGAGAGAGAGAGAGAGAGAGAGAGAGAGAGAGAGGTGGGGGAGACAGACAGACAGACAGACACTCTAACATCCGCACGCCCACATAGAGCTCTATAACTACAGTTGCCTTCCTCTTTTTTCTTTTTATCGGATACCCAAAACAACAAGTCGTGGATATAAAATATGTTTTATAAAAGTAGATTTTTTTTTCCGATGAGCGCAAGAGATGTAAAAATTAGACCGATCTATAACAAAGAATTCATTGATGTGTATTCTCAAAGGAGAAATATCTCGGAACGCACACATCGCATTATTTTGCAATTTCTATTCAGTTTAATCAGAAGTTCGTTGAACTTTCTTTGATCGTCGTCTGGATCTTATTATTCTCCCCTTTTCGTGGTATCTCATAAAAAGCTCCCAGGACTAACTCGCTGCTGTTCTCTTCGGAATCGAGATTAATCTATGGCTCACGACGCGGTGGAATCAGGCGCTCGTCAATTTTTGAGCCGATTAAGTTATTGGTATAATCTTAAAGCTAATTCATTTGAAATATTTTTTTTAAAGAAAACAAAGTCCCATCTATCTTAAATAGAAGTGAAATAGTTGTGATTGAAGGAGGTGGACGTCGCCTGGTGTCAGAGGTAAATTAGCGAGAAAATGGCCTCCAAAATTTGGCAGCTTAAAAAGTCCTTGGAAACTAGAATTTTTTAATTTTTTTGGGTGTTCCTTTGATGGAAGTTTTTTGGTTAAAAGCAACACGGAAATGTGTATTTTTGATAGACATAGAATCTAAATGTTGTTGAGCCACACACACAAAAATTAAAAAAAAAAAAAATAAAATAAAAATTGTTAAAAAAAAAAATAAAAGATGGGGGGGGAAAAAAATCTAAATTTTGATTAATATTTCGAAACAACCCCACCCCCACGCCCTCCCTCCCCCCCAAAAAAAAATAAAATAAAAATTGTTCATTGCTCATTGAAAAATGACTGTTCTCAAAAGCTCGTGGATAATAAACTTAAAAACTTGTTGTTTCCTAGTAACCCGATTCTACATTATCACATTTAAAACTAAAAGCTTTTCTTGATCTAGTACTATTCTAGAAATTTCAGGGTTTTAATGTGGTATTGGTTAATAAAATGATATAGCTATGATCTTAAAAAGCCCAGTGGATACAGGACCCCCCTCCCCCCACATTAAGCATTAAATTAAACTGAAAATAAAAACTGCTGGTCACAGACCGTTCAATGATTTTACCCCATTGCTCAAGGTTCACCAATTTAATGATTTTTTACCCACTTTCACCTAGGTCATTATAATGAAACAAGTGGTTGTTTCAGTTATGAAATTCGTGTTATTTCTCACATTTTGCAATTTTCATAAGCATGTTTCATGTGTAGATAATTCAATAACATTGTGTCATAGTTAATCACAAGTGGCCAACAGGGAGATAGTAATGAAAAATGAAATGAAACGCTGTTATTTAACACGTGTCCTGGGCTATTTGATCGTCTTATCAGATGGTTTCGTGTGATGTAAATATATTGTATTATGAACGTATCATTAAACGATAACTATTACCAAATGATCACCTTGTCTGAATATTTGTGGGTTTTTCTTTTTTATGTAGGTAGATTGAGGGAAAGAGAGAAAGAAAGAG